CCGCTATGGCGGTGCTATTAGCCACTAGGGTGGTGCTGTTATAGCCGTTGAGCGGTGCTGATGTAGCTGAATGGCTGTGATGTAGTGTAAGCTGTGCGGGTGTACTAATAGTGGTAGATATTTCCATTGTATATTCTGTATGTATGTTGATTTCTTTACACTAGCTTACCCTTTTGTTGTTTCCATGATGTTTGGACTGCAATGATCATACTATGTATGGGAGCAGGACAGGAATAGGTCGGTGACTGGTAGTTGGGCTGTAGCTGGCAATTGGAGCTAATCCTCTTGGGATGTCTGTATTTTGTTGTTTGGCTACTCGATTTAGCAATTGATTGATGTATCTTTTGTACACTCTAACCCTATTCAGACTGAAACTTTGTATTTATATATTCTAGATCCTATATTCATATACTTGTTCTATCTGTCTGGTGTTTCTAGTGTACTGTACCGTGTGTAGTGACCAACCGGGTCGTTACAACTCTTGTATTCACTTTTGAACATTTGAGAAATAAAACTTCAGATTTCTCTCTCAAGAGTCTCTCCTAAAAACCGTAGAGAATTCTCTATTTAGGTTTCTACCAAAGGTGCTTCAACCTTTGCTTGGTTCCTCAAGCTTCTACCTCAAGCTAAGGAGTAACCGAATCATCTCAAGGCTTCTCCTCCATTGAAGATTACTTTGTGGAGTTTCAAGCTTCCTTTAAAGTCTACCTCAAGAGTTTCTTCGGCCCTTGCATGGAGAACTTGAAGAATCAACATTCTTCACCAAGTAGCTCCATCATTTTTGGTATCTAGAGCCTAGTGCTCTTGAGGTTTTGTGTTGTAACTTTTTTGTGTGAATCCGTGTTGTATCTTCCTTCTCCTATCTCTAAACTTGTGTTTGCTGCATGGATCTAGTTCTAATACATTGTTTGATGGATCATATATGTCATGTGTGAACTAAATTGATTCATGTTTTTGCTTGTTCCTATTAATCCATGAATCAATTATTTTGAGCTTTAGGTTCTCTTAAACCTTGTGCGTTTTGTGTTTTGATTGAGTCTCTCCATTCCTTAACATGTGTCCGTGATTGGACAACATTCATTTAGCATTATTCTTATTTTTGAATCACTTGTTTTGTCATAGAAGTCATGTGTATTCCTTTACATGTTGAAAATTCCTAGACTAACTTGTTTAACCTAATTTTTTGTGTTGTTTTATTTCTGACCCGGACAATTTTAGGGGTCTACAGCCACTAGGGTGGTGCTGTTATAGCCGTTGAGCGGTGCTGATCTAGCTGAATGGTTGTGATGTAGTGTAAGCTGTGTGGGTGTACTAATAGTGGTAGATATTTCCATTGTATATTCTATATGTATGTTGATTTCTTTACACTAGCTTACCCTTTTGTTGTTTCCATGATGTTTGGACTGCAATGATCATACTATGTATGGGAGCAGGGCAGGAATAGGTCGGTGGCTAGTAGTTGGGTTGTAGCTGGCAGTTGGAGCTAATCCTCTTAGGATGTCTGTATTTTGTTGTTTGGCTACTCGGTGTAGCAATTGATTGATGTATCTTTTGTACACTCTAACCCTATTCAGACTGGAACTTTGTATATTTATATATTCTAGATCCTATATTCATATACTTGTTCTATCTGTCTGGTGTTTCTAGTGTATTGTACCGTGTGTAGTGACCAGCTGTGATGTCTACTGTGCTAAAAATTGCTATGATGATTTGTTGTGCTGTTCATTATTGTTTGGTTTAGTTATTGTTTACTAAATATGCTGTTATTTTTGTAGACGATGACTAAGACCAATGAGCAGATAGCCCGTGCCATAGAGATGATGGCCATGGCTATGCAACAGAAAAATGCCTATTTTGCTAGGATAGAGGCTGAGAGAGCTGCAGCTAGTGCAGCAAGACCTGAAGGGTCACAGGAAAGCCAGGATCTTGCGAAGTTCCGGAAGTGTAATCCTCCACAGTTTGCAGGGGATGCAGATCCAGAGGTAGCTGACCGCTAGATTTGTGAGCTAGAGAAGATCTTTACTGTCCTGGGATGTCCTCCAGAGAGGAGGTTAGTGTATGTTGTGTATATGCTTGTGGGGGAGGCTGAACATTGGTGGAGGGGTACCTGTCAGATGCTTGTTGCCAGAGGAGTTACAGTCGACTGGGAATGCTTCAGGACGGTGTTCATGGAAAAGTATTTCCTTGAGAGCGTGAGACACGCTAAGGAGGCTGAGTTTTTGAGGCTACACCAGGGAGGGATGACGGTTTCTAAATATGCAATGAAATTCGAGCACCTGACTCGTTTTTATTCGCATGGTATAGCTGAGGCCTGGAAATGCAGGAAGTTTGTTGATGGCTTGAGATATGAGCTGAAGAGAGTGGTGGTGCCCATGGCCATCACTGAGTTCCTGGCCTTAGTGGAGAAGTCAAAAGTGGTGGAGCGGTTGGAGGGTGGCAACCGGGTTGTGAGGACTGCTGGAGGGCCATCTGGGTCCAAGAAGGGGGAGAGTCAGAGGAAGCCGTACGACAGGCCCCAGTCACAGCAAGGGGGTTATGTTGCTCGGTAATCTTCTAGTGCTGCTAGTGGAGGTAGACAGAGTGGAGGTGCCACTCTGAGGTGTTTCAGGTGTGTTGGGCCCCACTTTGTCAGGGACTATCCGCACACGGAGAGCCGCTATTTCAGATGTCATCAGATGGGCCACGAGTCGGCCAACTGTCCCACTAGGAGCAGACCAGAGAGGAGAACTCAGAAGAGTGATGGGCAGAGGGCTGAGACTCTGAGGAGTAGTGCACAGAGAGCTGATACTCAGAGGGGTGACAGACCCACTACTGCTGGTAGGGTGTTTGCCTTGACAGGTGTTGAGGCTTCGACTTCTTCTGATCTGGTGAAGGGGAAGGGAAAAGCTGCTGGTAAGGATGTGATGATTCTGTTTGACTCTAGTGCTTCACATTCCTTTATATCTTATGCATGTGCTGCTATGTTGGGTGTGCCTGTGTGTGATTTGGGGTTGAGACTGCTAGTGTCGACGCCCGCTTCTGCTCCTGTGATTTCTTCTGAATTGTGTGTGGGTTGCCCGGTTGTAATGAATGAGAAGAAGTACAAGGTGAACCTAATTTGTTTACCTTTGGTGGATATTGACATAATCTTGGGAATGGATTGGTTGTCTACCAATCGCATTCTAATAGATTGTGCCAATAGGCGGTTGATCTTTCCTCAGGAGGAGGATGAGATGTTGATCTCAGCTGGCCAAGCTGAGTCCTTGCTGAGAGATAGGGCAGAATGCTGTCTTCTGCTTGCTGCATTGAGTGTTGAGACTGAGCGGGTCATTTCTGAAATCGATGTGGTACGGGATTTTGCTAAGGTATTCCCAGATGAGGTGCTTGGGTTGCCTCCGGTTAGGGAGATGGAGTTTAGCATTGACCTGGTTCCAGGTGCGGGACCAGTGTCGGTGGCTCCTTATAGGATGGCTCCTACTGAGCTGGCTGAGCTGAAAGGTCAGTTGGAGGACTTGTTGAAAAAGTAGTTGGTGCAGCCGAGTGTTTCGCCGTGGGGTGCTCCGGTGTTGTTAGTAAGGAAGAAGGATGGAGGTAGTCGACTGTGTGTTGATTACCGGCAGCTAAACAAGTTGACCATTAAGAACAAATATCCACTTCCCTGGATAGATGACTTAATGGATCAACTAAGGGGCGCGTCAGTGTTTTCTAATATCGACTTGAGGTCAGGATATCACCAGATTCGGGTGAAGGAGGGTGACATACCGAAGACTTCTTTCAGGACTAGGTATGGTCACTATGAATATGTTGTGATGCCGTTCGGTGTGACCAACGCCCCCGCAGTGTTCATGGACTACATGAACAGGATCTTCCGACCGTTCTTGGATAAATTTGTGGTGGTGTTTATTGATGATATCTTGATCTATTCAAGAAACCTAGAGGAACATGGAGAGCACTTGAGGACGGTGTTGGAGATTTTGAAAGTGAAGCAGCTGTATGCTAAGCTTTCAAAATGTGAGTTCTGGTTGGATGAGGTGAAGTTCTTGGGCCACGTGATTTTAGCTGAGGGGATTGCTGTTGATCCGGCTAAGGTGGAGTCGGTGTTGCAGTGGGAATGCCCGAGGACTGTCACGGATATTCAGAGTTTTGTGGGCTTAGCGGGTTACTATCGGAGGTTCATTGAAGGATTCTCTAAGATAGTAGCGCCTCTGACCTAGCTGACTAGGAAGGAGCAGCCATTCATTTGGACTTATGCCTGTGAGCGGAGCTTTGATGAGCTGAAGAGGAGGTTGACTACTTCTCTTGTTCTAGTGTTGCCAGATTCTAGTGAGCCTTTTGACGTGTACTGTGATGCCTCTCATCAGGGTTTGGGTTGTGTGCTGATGCAAAATGGGAGAGTGGTGGCATATGCTTCAAGGCAACTGCAGGTTCATGAGAGGGATTATCCCACTCATGACTTGGAGTTAGCAGCTGTGGTGTTTTCCTTGAAGATCTGGAGGCATTACTTATATGGTGCCCAGTTCAGCGTCTTCAGTGATCACAGGAGTCTGATGTACTTGTTTGATCAGAAGGAGCTAAACATGAGGCAGAGGCGGTGGATGGAATTTCTGAAGGATTATGATTTTCAGTTGATGTATCATCCGGGTAAGGCCAATGTGGTGGCAGATGCGCTGAGTAGGAAGTCTATCCACATGTCGAGTATGATGGTAAGAGAGCTGGAGCTAGTCGAGAAATTCAGAGATTTGAACCTCTGTGTGGAGTTAGCTCAGGATCACATTAGTTGTGGGGCAGTTACCATAACTAATGAGTTCTTGAGGCAGGTTGGACTCAAGCAGTTGCAGGATGAAGAGTTGGTGAGACTTCTTGGTTTGCTGGGTACCAAGAAGGCTGCTGGTTTTGAGCTGGGAGAAGATGAGATCTTGAGGTTCAGAGGCAGGATTTGCCTACCTTAGGATGCTGAGCTGAGGAGGGCTGTATTGGAAGAAGGCCACAAGAGTAGGCTCAACATACACCCGGGTATGACTAAGATGTACCAAGACCTCAGGAAGAATTTATGGTGGTCTGGTATGAAGAGGGAGATCGTTGAGGATGTGGCGCCCTGCCGGACATGTCAGAAGGCAAAGGTTGAGCATCAGAAGCCGAGTGGGTTGAGGTAGCAGATAGAGATTCCGAAATGGAAGTGGGATAGTATCACTATGGACTTTGTTTTTGGGTTACCTAGATCAGCTAGGAACAGTGATGCTATGTAGGTAATTGCTGATCGGTTGACCAAGTCTGCACATTTCTTGCCTGTCAACATTAAGTGGTTCTTGGAGAAGTTGACACAAATATATGTGAGGGAGATAGTACGATTGCACGGGGTGCCTTCAAGTATTATCTCTGACCAGGATCCGAGGTTCACTTCTAGATTTTGGCAGAGTCTACACCAAACTCTAGGCACGAAGCTGAAGCTGAGTTTTGCTTATCATCCGCAGATGGATGGTCAGTCAGAGAAGACATTCCAGTCCTTGGAGGATCTGTTGAGGGCCTGTGTGTTAGACCACTTAGGTAGCTGGGAGGAGGTCCTACCGCTGGTGGAGTTTACTTATAACAACAGCTTTCATGCTAGCATTGGGATGGCACCATATGAAACCCTGTATGGTAGAAGATGTAGGACTCCTCTATGCTGATACCAAGAGGGTGAGTCAGTGGTTGTGGGACGGGAGTTGATCCTACAGACTACTGAGAAGGTGAAGATGATCCAGGAGAAGATGAAAACTGCTCAGAGTAGGCAGAAATCATATGCAGATAAAAGGCGTAAGCCTTTGGAGTTTGCTGAGGGGGAGCATGTGTTTCTGAAGGTGACTCCGACTTCTGGTGTGGGCAGGGTGCTGAGGGCATGGAAGTTAACACCGAGGTTCGTGGGTCCCTATCAGATAATACAGCGTGTGGGTCCAGTTGCATATCGGTTGGCTCTGCCACCGTCTCTTTCGAACCTACACGATGTATTTCATGTGTCTCAGCTGAGGAAGTATGTTCATGACCCAAGTCATGTGGTGCAACTGGACGATGTACAAGTGAAGGAAAACCTGACCTTTGAGAAGTTGTCGGTAGTTGTTGTGGATCATAGGCTGAAGGAGCTGAGGGGCAAGTCCATTGCCCTGGTGAAGGTCCTGTGGGATGCGGCTACCGGTGAGTCTACTTGGGAGGTGGAACAGCAGTGTCGGGACCGGTATCCGTTTTTATTCCCAAGTAAGTATGTTTTCAGGGACGAAAACTCCTGTTGCTGGGGAGGTTGTGAGACCCTCCCCTCTTTTCCTTTTTCCCGAATTTCCTTTACACTCTCATTCACTTCTCCTTTACTCTTCTATTTTGGCTGATTCTTGTTCTCTGGGTGGTGCTCTTTTGGATTGAAGGTGCTGAGTGAAGGTCAGATTTCGTGTTGAATCGTGCGGAGCTTCTTTCCTTCTTCCTTCTCCGTTCTCCATCTCTTTCAAACTCTTTCTTCTTCATTGTCTCTTCCCGAAGATTGGAAATCTTCTACCGAGGTAAGGGAAGTTAGTATTTTGCTGCGTTTTTGGCTGGAAAATAGGACTAGGAACTCATTTGGCTGCTGGTGATTGATTATGTTTGGCTGAGTTGCTGAAAATTGGGGTTTTGGGGTTTTTTTTTTGTGGTTTTGAGTCAAAATTTGGGTTTCTTTGATTTGTTGTTGCATGCACATAAAGCTGGTACTTTCGAACTCCTTGATGAAAATGTGACACATTGAACCGTTTGCATGCTGGTTTTCTGTTAAGATTTGCAGGTTTTGAGCAATTTTTGAACTTGGGGAAATTATTACTGTGTTTCGCGCTGGGCGCTGTTCTTCGTGCCGGGCGCGTGACCACCAAGAGACTCTATTTTGCCAAGCTCGCTGAGCGCAAGGGTGTGTGCGCCGGCCGAGCTTGAAAATAGAGGTGTCTGGTTGGCCCTCGCTTGGCGCGCCTTGAGCTGCGCTGGGCGCGATAGCAATGGTAACATGTGGGGGGATGCTCTAGTGCCGCGTTGGGCGCGTGTTTGGGTTCGCTGGGCGCGGAGGCTCCTTTGGAGTCTCTGCCAAGAGGGTGCTAGGTGCAATGCAAATTGCGCCGGGTGTGAGACCTTAGTGGGTCTCTGCCATCCCCACGCTGGGCGCGGGTTAGGCCACCCTAGGCGCGTGAGAGCCTTGAGCTCTCTGGCTGAGGTGCGCCGGGCGCGAGTATGCTTGCGCCGAGCGCGCTAGTCCACTGGTGACCTCTGGATGTGCCATGCCGGGCGAAACCATGAGTGCGCCAGGCGCGCAGGAACATGTTTAATTGATGTACAAATTAGCTGATAAACTTTGTTGAAAAGGCTGTAAAAGGTTGTTTTAAGCTGAATTGGATGTCTTGCTGTGTTGAGTTAGCTGTTATTGATAAGTGTAGATGCCTTATATATGTCATTGTTGTACTCTGGAATGATGAGCTAAGGAGTGAGTAGAAAGTTGTGTCGAATTCTACTAATTATGTTGTATGCTGATGGATTGTGCTGTGTTGTTTGATTTCTGAACTGTATGCTGATATGTGAACTAGCCGCTATGTCGGTGCTGATAGCCATTATTTTGGTGATGTTATAACCACTATGGTGGTGCTATTATAACCGCTATGGCGGTGCTATTAGCCACTAGGGTGGTGCTGTTATAGCCGTTGAGCGGTGCTGATGTAGCTGAATGGCTGTGATGTAGTGTAAGCTGTGCGGGTGTACTAATAGTGGTAGATATTTCCATTGTATATTCTGTATGTATGTTGATTTCTTTACACTAGCTTACCCTTTTGTTGTTTCCATGATGTTTGGACTGCAATGATCATACTATGTATGGGAGCAGGACAGGAATAGGTCGGTGACTGGTAGTTGGGCTGTAGCTGGCAATTGGAGCTAATCCTCTTGGGATGTCTGTATTTTGTTGTTTGGCTACTCGATTTAGCAATTGATTGATGTATCTTTTGTACACTCTAACCCTATTCAGACTGAAACTTTGTATTTATATATTCTAGATCCTATATTCATATACTTGTTCTATCTGTCTGGTGTTTCTAGTGTACTGTACCGTGTGTAGTGACCAACCGGGTCGTTACAACTCTTGTATTCACTTTTGAACATTTGAGAAATAAAACTTCAGATTTCTCTCTCAAGAGTCTCTCCTAAAAACCGTAGAGAATTCTCTATTTAGGTTTCTACCAAAGGTGCTTCAACCTTTGCTTGGTTCCTCAAGCTTCTACCTCAAGCTAAGGAGTAACCGAATCATCTCAAGGCTTCTCCTCCATTGAAGATTACTTTGTGGAGTTTCAAGCTTCCTTTAAAGTCTACCTCAAGAGTTTCTTCGGCCCTTGCATGGAGAACTTGAAGAATCAACATTCTTCACCAAGTAGCTCCATCATTTTTGGTATCTAGAGCCTAGTGCTCTTGAGGTTTTGTGTTGTAACTTTTTTGTGTGAATCCGTGTTGTATCTTCCTTCTCCTATCTCTAAACTTGTGTTTGCTGCATGGATCTAGTTCTAATACATTGTTTGATGGATCATATATGTCATGTGTGAACTAAATTGATTCATGTTTTTGCTTGTTCCTATTAATCCATGAATCAATTATTTTGAGCTTTAGGTTCTCTTAAACCTTGTGCGTTTTGTGTTTTGATTGAGTCTCTCCATTCCTTAACATGTGTCCGTGATTGGACAACATTCATTTAGCATTATTCTTATTTTTGAATCACTTGTTTTGTCATAGAAGTCATGTGTATTCCTTTACATGTTGAAAATTCCTAGACTAACTTGTTTAACCTAATTTTTTGTGTTGTTTGTGAAACTTTGTTTGGTGCATCATTTTCTTATTAAATCTGTGCCTACCTATATGTGCATTTGTGTTACATGTTTGAGTTCATAATTTGCTATTAGTTCTAGCAAATTTCTTAGAGTTAGGTTTCTATTATGTCTTAATAAAAGTTTTGTCAAAAAAAATTGTTAAACACTATTTCCTATTAGATTTTCTTTGAGTCTTGTGTGTGGCTGAAACCTATTGAAAATTTTAAAACATTAAAGCAGAGACAAAACAGAGTTGTATGTGTTCTTAATGCATGAGAAAAACAAAAGAAAAAAAGTGCATAAAAATTTGACCTAAAAATACTACAAAATTGGAAGCACTAGTTAGAATATACTATGAACACCTCTTGTTTTGTGAAAATATTTTGGCAGCAGTTTTATTAGCCTAAAACCGAGACTTATATGTGTTAAAAATGCATTTGAACTCCTGATCATTAAAAGAAAAAAAAGTGAAAAATATTTTGCAAAAAGAAAAGAAAGAAAATAGCAAAAGAAAAAGCCAAAAGGAGTGAAAAACCTAGTGTAATTAGCTCTCGGTTTTGGTGTGTTCTTGCCTATAACTGTAGACCCCTAAAATTGTCCGGGTCGGAAAT